CGCCCAGTCGACAGCCTTTTCCTCGACCTCCTCCAACTGGCTCTGCATTTCTTCTGTCAAGGAAGCAACCTTTCCCTGGCTTTTCTAGAGCTCGGCCTCAAGAGCTAGCCTTCTCTTTTCGGAGGCCTCCATTTCTTGTTCTGCTCGTTAAGCCCGCATTAAGGTCGTCTAGAGCTCCTGGTCCTTCTCTCCGACCTCCTTGGAGAGCCTAGCGGTTGTCCTCTGAAGCTCTTTTACTTCCTCCGCACGTCTCTCAAGCTCCGTCTTTTGGAAGTCCACTGTACGCATAGCGACCGTCTTTTGGTTCAAGTATCTGTTCGCTGCCTCAGCGGACAGCGCTCTTTCTGCTTCGACGTCCTCTAGGCTCTGTTTGATCTTTGCGATCTCCTCTTTCAGATCATTTTCCCCCTTTGCGGCTCCCTGCCGAGCCTTCTCCAAGGACATTCTCATGGCGAGCAGAGCCTACAAACAAGAAATGAGTTAGAATGAAAATGGCGGACAAACTCTTCAAGAACAGTTAGTTCACTTTGCTTAGATGCTGAACCGACGGGTCATCAGGTCAACATCGCCCGTATCGACGAACTCATCGTATGAATCGGATAATCCACACTCAAGTAGAGAGTAGACTACCGGCTGCAGGTATATGGGCAAGTTCCCCAGCGCGTCCAGCACTGGTGTGTCCTTCGCCTTGTCGGCAGCAACCGTCTCATCCGCGGGTTCCTTGCCCAACCCCCTTCCGACGTCCCGCAGCGACCTCAGGGGTTGATCACCCTCAGATTCGGTCTCTGACTCATCGACCTGAATATGCTTCCTCTTCTTCGACCGCTGAGCCATTATCTTCCGCCTCGGGCAAGCAAGCGATGGTCGAGCGACCTGTTCTGTCCTGGTCGTTTCTTCCTCAAGACAAGGCTAGGAAGGCGCGGCAGTTCACACCAGTTGTGCCGCTACGGGGTGAGCAGCTTTGGCTGCCCTAGCCCTCCTCAATCGAGGGAAGTTAAATGGCGCTCGCCAGGGCTGCTCGGACTCTTTCTGAGGCATGGTCGCTGCATGCAAGTATGTTAGTAACTAAACAAAAATTATTCTACGACCATAAAGGAATCAGTCGGCCCAACTTACACTCTGGGGACTCTAAAGACGCGTTATTGCTGAAAAAACCGTACTTTCGCAAGTTCACGGTCGTCACGAGCTTCTTCGCGTCCCGACTTTCTTCGGGGAGAACCCCAAAATACATGATCCTGTCCAGGTCGGTGAGCAGGTTTAGGCTGGTCGACTTGTTAACTGCAAAAGAATGCAGGTCGTTAGAAAAAGAAACGCACAGTAAATGAATCTAGCGAAGAGGAACCTACTTGGATCCTGAAAGTGGCAGTAGCCGTCGTAACAGAAGAAGAAAAACGTCGTCTCGTAGGCCCCCGCGTTGCTGGGATAGCTATGTATCCCTCCGACAATGGTAGGTCGCCGGGACAAGTAATATGAGTGTAGCCGAGTTCCACTGCTGTTAGCTCGCCCAAGGCTCTCTCGCAGCACGTGATGTACATCGCAACGGTGATGACATACGCGTTTGGCAGTAACTGCATTGGTGCGATCCCGAAGTGATCCAGGACCGACCTAATAAAAGGGTGAAAAGGAATCATCCCCCCACCCTTGAAGATCTCTTCGGAGATCGCAGCTAAGCCATCAGAAGGATGCCGCGACGACCGGGTGGTGTCAAGGAACAACTCCGCGCGAACGTTGAACTGTTTCTTTACCCTCTCGAACTCCTCTCGAGTGAGAACCGAGAAGACCTCAAGGGTTGCGTTCGCGGGAACATCCCGCAAAGACGAGTCGGCTCCTTCCTCGGATCTAGACGCTGAGGGTTCCATTCCGCAGTTTGCAACAGCGACAGACAGAAGGTCATTTTAGCCATCGTACGTTACCCCGTACGGCGGCATGGAACAAATTCCCTAAACCCTAACAGTGACTTAAGCCGCCATTCACGGCTCGAACCCGACTCCAGCGTCACGTCTCTGATGAAACATCAGAAGACCCAACGCCATTGCACCGCCATGAAAGCTAAAAAAAAAAAAAAAAAAAAAAAAAAAGCCCTTACCTTTTGTGGCATGTGACTGTGGACGGTTCTTGCTTCGGGTATCGGAGAGATGCCAATCGGAAAAGAAAAGCTTTCGGTTGGCAAAGATTTTTCGCTCGAGGCAAAAGAGATTCTGGTGGCATCATCTAAAAAATTTGGGCTTTTATATGGACTATGAACCGGTGTTTACCACCCCTCGGAATCAAAACGACGCTTGGGCGGCAACTATTTCTCACCGTTGATCGCGGACACGTGTCGCTGATCAATGGGGGGGAGAGAGTTACAACTAAGGACGGTCAAACCCACGACCCTTCCGTTGAGAAACTCGAACGACGCCTTTCTCTCTCTCTGCATTAATTGCGCCCCACGCCGCATTTAATGCTGTGATAAGAGTTGTCGTTTTGAGCGTGTCAAGCAATTAATGCTCTGTCAAAGCAATAACGCGTCAGCACACAATGCATTTAATGCGCCTGGCAGACGCTTAACACGCGCAGAGCGCCTGACAACGCAGAAAATGCTTCATTAAATCTCCATCCCTAAGGTATGGTAAGGAACACCTGATGAAGTCAGGTTGCTTGGGCGATGGCTGTCAGGTCCCTTAGGCGAGGGTCGTCAGGTCGCTTGAGCGATGGCTGTCAGGTCGCTTGGGCGATGGCTGTCAGGTCCCTTAGGCGAGGGTCGTCAGGTGGCTTGAGAGATGGCTGTCAGGTCGCTTGGGCGAGGGCCGTTAGGTCGCTTGAGCGATGGCTGTTAGGTCGTTTTGACGAGGTTCGTGCGAGGTCGTGTTGGCAAAAGGCCCTATCCCGAGCTTCTTTCATTCAGGTCGGAATTGTCAGAACTTCCAGAAAACCTCTAATCGCGACATGGCTTTGTTTCCAAGGTTCGATCCTCAAACCTTAAAAACTAGGGGACTTCTGTTTTGCCTGGGAAATCAAGGGCTGACGTGGGAAATCACGTGATAGAGTGTGACTTGCTCCTGTCAAAATGGTAAGCGCACGCCAGACCTGGCAGACGCTGTGGAGATCCCACGTGTCCATTCCTTGCTCCAAATCGCGTGAAATCAGTTTGGAAGGTGGGCAATGTGACGTAAAGCCGGATTTTGTCCTGATATTCACACCAACCCACGGATTTAATGATGATTACTTACACTCATCTCACTATAAAAAGGAGAAGACCCCTTCATTGAGGGGATTCGGCCATTTTACACTCTGAATTAGCTATCCCTCTCTCTCTTGTATGTTTGCATTTACTTTTTACTAGTCATTTGTAAGTCAGTCCGCTGTTGCGACCTGACCTACAATATTAATACAACTATCAGTGGACGTAGGACTTGCTACCTGAGCATCCGAACCACTTTAAAAAGCTATTACTACTACATTTACTACATACTTTATCCATACTCATGTGTGTCTCTTGGCCAACCAACGTTATGCACGTGTCGATTAGTTGATGTCAAAATCACGCATCAACAATTATAAACTATCTTTATGTAGTAATGTCACATCAATTCTTATAATATGTTTGTATGCGTAATATTTTTATTTTTATCTAAGTTAATTTTTCGCATAAAGATTTGACAGACACTCAAGAATTAAAGAAAGTTGGATATGAAGAACGCATGATTTATCATTCTACTAAGCAGATGTAGCTAGCTAGGTACATTTTACATTTATTAAAGAAGAAAATAAAAAAGACTTCCAATTTAATGGGATCATGTGGTAGGTACAAACCCTAGTTGCCTGCCCAAAAAGGGGTACATTAATGTGAATTATGGTGTGATTGAAATTTGAAAACCCTAAAGTAAAAAGAAAAAGAAATTGAACGTTGGAAATAGTACCAAAGATCACAAGTGAAGAGAATTCATTATAAAAATTGAAAATTTAAATGAGAATTTAGGTTGAAGTGCGTGTGCATGCACGTGCAAACATGTGTGTGACTGTGAATATATGTGGAAGGAGCCGCACGTGCCCACATGTGTACGTGATTTTCTTGAAAAGGACAGCAGTAAAATGTGATGGCATGTGGATTCATAAAAACCTTGTCAACTTCTGTTACCATTCCTCCCCTTCCCCCAAGAAATTTCAACACTCTCTACTCATCTCACCTTCCTCTTTAATTACTCTCTTAACATTTCACACTTATCGGATCTCTAATCCGCCAAATTAAAAAAAAAAAAATATATATTTACTTATAAGAGAATTTAATCACGACACTCAATTGTGTGGTGATAAGACCATACAATAAAAAATATGATACATAGTGACATATAGGTTAATTTTATATCACTTATTAATAACTTTTTTTTTTTTTTTTTTTTTGTTAATGACCAAAGATGTCCAGATTAACAGTTTACACATACCTTAATTAATTTTTTGGGATCTTAAAATTATCGATCAAGTAACAAAGATGTCCAGATTAACAGTTTACACATACCTTAATTAATTTTTTGGGATCTTAAAATTATCGATCAAGTAAGAACTCTAATGACTATCCTTATTTTGATGATCGAGGGTGTTCAGACAACAGTTTATACACATCTTAACTAATCTCTCCAAACCCTAAAATAACTGACCAAGTAAAAACTTTAGTGACTATCCTATATATTAGCAACGGAGTAAAGACTTGAACTCAAAACTTTTTGAATAATACATCCAAGAGCCCTTATCAAACTACTCAACCATCTAAAGATAGTTGTCTAAAAACTATCACTATAGTGGATCCCTATAAAAACTAATTATGTTATGAGACGGTCTCACCGTGTCAGTGCTTTAATCTTAATAGCTAATATTGTGTAAACATCCCACATGCTAAATAAAAGAAGAAGATACAGAGAAAGGGAAAAGATACAGTACATAAATAAACCAGTACTAGATTTGTCTACTGCATAACATCTTGGCCTTTTTAGCTGATAAATAGAGAGGACCACACCCCAACTAAAAACAATCAAAAGAAAGCAATAAAATGTCATCCAATAAAGAAGAAGCAGGGGAGAGAGAGATAGAATTACTGCAGGAAAGAGGTATGTGTCCATATACTGAGGAAGGGAAAAATGGTCGTGTACCCGGTTTTGTTAAGAGGGTACACTGTGCCTCGCTGTCTCGCATGTGAAGAAGTTGTGGCTTTCTCTTCTCTCTCTTACATGCACCAACTATAATCCCCAAACCCCAACTGGCAATTTTTCTCCATTCTTAATTTCCTCTCTTCCTCCTTTCACTCACCACAAAGTTTTATTTACTCTTTCTCATTACAAAAAATATTACCAAAATGAACGTTTTGGCTTCAGAATGCACCAGTGGCTGTGAGTCTGGGTGGACTCTCTACTTAGAGCAATCTAATTTTGCTTCACATAGGAATACTAATAAGTTTGTTGATGGTAAGGCTGGTTTTTCTGAACAAGATTTTCAACGTTGTGATGATGATGAAGAGGAAAGTTTATCTATGGTTTCTGATGCGTCTTCTGGACCTCCAACTTTCCATGAAGATGATGTGTGTTTCAATGATGTTGATAGATACCACCAGCAACACCCTCCTTCTTCCAAGGCTACAACTCCACGAGTGGCCAATGGTAGTGGGAAAATAAGGCTGAAAAAGAAAGAAAAAAGAAGCCGCGAAAAACAAGAACTTCTGCCTTCTTTTCTTGACGACACTGCTAGTTCTCCAGTCATCAACTTCTCCTCCAAGGTAATACTTCACATTAATTTATAGCCTGTTTTAGAAAATGTGAGACCCTAAAGTTTTGCTTTTTACTTGTGTTGTTCACGAGTTCTTAATCATTTATTGCAGAATAATTTTGGTGCTGTAAACAACAATCAGGCATCAATGGAGAGTGTCTTAGATTATTCTCAAGGGTACTCTGCAACTGACTTTCAGGTATACTTTTACAGCTAGTTTAATTTGTTCTAATATTTGGTTGTTTGTTTGCAAAGTGTGCATGTCAATAACCTTTGAGTTAATTTCTTGCAGGGGAGATCTGCATTTCAAGACCCTTTTGCTTTCTTGCAATCTCCTCACTCTGGAAACCATGTTCAAAATAACCAGTTGAGTAAATCTTTTAATAGTCTGACAATGCATCAAATTCAAAGTTTGAATATTTAAGGTACTATATTAAATGATGATCATCTCATTGAGAGTTTCAATATTTGAGTTTACAGGTGGTTATAAAGGGTAATTAAGAGGAATGATGGAGATGAGATAAGGATGATTTCCATCAGTTGCTGCTCTTCCTGCTGCATGCTATTGCAGAAATGTTGGTGTTGAAGTTGCACTAAAAGAGATGGTTTAGAGAGTTAGTTGTCAAATTAAAAACTCAAAAGCAAATGGATGTCATCAAATTAAGAGGATCTTGTTGCTTCCTCTTTTTCTTTTTCAAGTTTTCCTAATTTTACCTGTCAATGCAGTGGGAAACAACCAACGATGATGAGAGCAAAAGTTAGAGATAAATTTCTTGTTTTCAAAATTAAATTATCTTGTCAATGAATAGTGGGTGCAAATGAGCTGAATTTTGTCCTTTAGGCCGCCTCTTGTGCAATTATGCACAGTCCTCCTTTTTTAATGGAGCCCCATGCCCTCTTTATTTCACCACCACTAGCTTTCTCTCCTACTCTTATCATAAATAACCAGTACAGCAGCCTCATTATAAAATCAAGCATATGAAAGCCATTTGCCTCTTAAAGCCAAGGAGCAAACAAATAATAAGCAACTGATGCATAATACAATTAATGTAATCATTCAGTAATGCACATTAACAAATGCATACAATTCTTTAACTCATAAATCTAATTATTTTATATACAAAAGAAGGGACACATGCAAACAATTGTTTGCTGGATTCTCAGTAGAATATGAGTAAGATCCTAATGCAGATCTGATAATTTATTAGGTGGGATTTGCGGAAATCTATTATGAAAGTGAAAAGTTTGATGAGTAGAAGTTATGTGTCCATCAGACAAAGATCCATCCACATTGATACTTCGTATTTTCTCATAATAAATCACAAAATGAAAAGAAAAATGAGACAAGGTAGATGATGGGAGATCAGAGTGAAGGAAATGACAAACTCATGCTGGAAAGATTTCATATTCTTCATGACCCGTTTTGGAAGCCTGAAGATCCTGCCGTGATTTTCCTGACCCAATGGAACATGCTCCATTTAATTTAATGTGTACTCTTTATCTCATTTGTAAGGATCTTAATAATTAAACCATTTGTTTTTCAATTGTGCTCCCTCCAACCCTGTCCTGCTTGTAGCTGTCATTGACTTGATGTCATGCCAATTTATATGGCTTCCTTCATTTCTTTATTGAAGTAACTGTTTCCTAGTCTCTTCTCAATAACATTATATTAGGGGAAAAAGTTGGAAAGATCCAAGTTGGGAATTTAGGATTTCAAGTCTGATCTATACCCTGTTCGTTTTTTCATTTTTTATATATTCTCATGTAGTCAAAAATTACAAGGAATGAAAAGAAAAAGACAACTAAACAATATAAAAAAATTGGTGCTTAAATTTCCTCACTGCACTCCAATCAATTGAAAGGATCTAATTCAAGTAATGAGGATAAACATCTATGTTTTTCCACCACCACCAAACAAGAACCTTCTTTCTCTCCTGTAACTACAGAGGGAAACGGAATTGCTTTCTTGTTTCTTATATTTACTCATTTCTATTCCTGTCTCCATTTCCTTTTAGCTTCCTTTGTTTCCATTTTCCATGACACCACTCACTATTCACCTTGTCCTTTTAATCATCTTCACATTCATTACCTCTTTCCTCTAGCACTGAGTTTCTTTCCGGATTGTTCTTCATTTTAAGTATTTGCCGCTGTGAAACTTACATGAATTCATCTACTTTTATATTTTTTTAATTTGCTTGAGTCCGGTACACAACATGAAATATTTCAAGTCCTAATTTAGTACAGCATATATAAAAGATGACTGAATGAATTGTTTTAAACTGGTCAATTTTTTCAAAGAATCCAAGAGGAATTGATCTTATCGTTTTACTAAAATATCGTTTCTTAATTTATACATGGATAACTCAAAGAAACTAAGACAAAAAAATATAGCTTAAAGCTAGCTACGTTATTGGATTCTGCACCAATTTTCCTCGTGATCAAAAGAATTGATATTTTTATTTTTAGTGAGTTCATCAGCTCAAAGTATAATTCCCAACTACTCAAATTTATAGACTCAGTTAAACATATAATTACTGCATGAAGATTGTACTTTTAAATTGAATACCGACCAGGAAGTTATCTGAAATAGAATAAAAATAAAATTTATTATTTAAAAGATCGACATGCGTATCCCACCATAACAGGAGTTGTAGCCTCAAAAGTCATCTGCAAAATCAACATGATAATTTTCAAGGCTTCTTTTTTATTGTTGCAACTTATAACATAATTGCCACATGACACCTTCAAAGGGTTTTCAAATTCTTGCTCAAGCAATGGAAAAGTAATCCCTTATATAATATACAGCCATTATATATATGTACATACACGAATTTAACTAATATATTAAATATGTTTTGTATAGAGTAAATGACTTTTTCTCACCTAAATAATGATTTAATGACAGTTTCACACCTACAGACTTTTAAAATATCACTTTACTATCCAAATTTATATTCCGTTTTCGATTCCAACATTGTTGTGACCTTATACCACCATCATTCTCTTCCCCGATCATCACTTACCCTCAAACCCTACTCTTGTCAACCCCACCAATTATTGGCAATCAAGCGATTAGGGTTTACATAGTCGTCTTCTCCAAGTCAAATTCTGATTAATCTCAACCATCAAAATACAATATTCCACCACTAAAAGACTTATTAGTCTTCTCTCTTCAAAAGCCCCAATAGCTTGGACTGAGTTTACTCTCTTTGTCGTTGGAGTATGAATTATTAAATTTAGATAGTAAAATAGTATTTTAAAAATTTGTGTGTCATTAAACCATTGAAAAAGTCATTAACTCTTTTGTATATAGAAGTAAGAGAATTAAACCTTATTTTAAGTAGGCATCATTCTGTAAAAAAGATTGCAGTGAGATTTCCTCAATTAATCAACTCCCTCCTGTATTAACTTGTCTTTATCAAGTCATGCATTAATCTCTTTAAATTAAAATGCAGTTAGATATATAATATCAAACTTCAAAGAAAGTAGTACTGACAAGAAGCATTAATTTCCCACCCGCAGTCACCTAATTCTGCTTCCTCATTTGTGTACAAATTTGTTGGACTTCACCTGTGAAAATGGCAACGTGTCTCTTATAAGAATGAGTCAAATAAAATGCAATAGAGAGGTTCAGAATAAACATATATGATGTTCGGGAGGACATGATTTTTGTTCATTAATTTAAATTCAATCTACTTAAATTGTTGTTTCTAGATTTTAAATTGCTTAAATTAAATTAAATTCGATTTGATATCATATATATATATTTTTAGGAATCCTGTAAATCCTCTCTCTTTCATCTTTTTCTTTTTCATATTGATATACACACATTTTCATTCATCTTGACACGTATACGAAGACAGAAGGAGGAGAAATAAATAAATAGCTCGAAACCAATGTGAGATGGCTCACATGTGTCATCAAAAACAAACATGCTACTATATGTATGAGGAGCCTATCTGAGCCCATTTAGGCCGAGCCATTACGACAATCGTGCCAGTATAAGTTTGAGGAGCCAGTGCGAGCCCATCTAGGCCCATTCCCGCCTAAAATATGAGCACATTAGGCCCATATCAATTACTGCCACAAATGTGTTTGTGCTTTTGTGGAGCCAATGTAAGCCCATTTTGGTTGCATAGCCCATCTAGCCCCATTCAGCATCACTAAAAATATGAGCACATTGGGCCCATATCAATTACTGCCACAAATATGTTTGTGCTTTTGTGGAGCCAATGTGAGCCCATTTTGGTTGGCATAAGCCTTCATCGTTTATTGTCTACCCAATTGCCAAGTTCTTACCAATTAACATTTTAGGTTGCACATTTCATCCTTCAAATTTCTTCTTTTGTTTTAGGAATACTATTTTTTTTTTTTTTTTTTTAAATTAAATGTTGGGAAAAAAATTTGTTAATATAAAAGGTAATAGATAAGGGAAACCAAGAACCCTACTTCTCAAACAACCTTTATTTCAGGGATAATTTACTAAAAGAGTTTCATGACACGTAACGACCTTTTAGGACATCCACGTTGAAAAAAATAGGTCATGTCAAATGATAATTGAAGCTAGCATATTAGCATAGACAATGAAGTAAGGTTATCGATCAATCAAGGACAAGAGTTGGTATGACAAATCTAAGGAACGTAAGAAATCACAAATGCCCTAATCTCTTACACGTGTCAAATCTCCAAAGAGTTATACAGTTATAAATGGAGAAAGTTGTAGTTCCAAGCAAGACACAAACACTCACAACCTAGGACTTCGCACTGAAAATATTCCTCTTACTCTTGAGATTAAGTGCTTGTTTAATCCTCCTTGGTTATACTATGGACTGACTTGGAGCGTCGGAGAAGGCACGCTAGCACCACCTTTGCTGCCTCTTCGCAGTTCCGTAACTTTTTTCAGGCCATTCTTTGCAATTGGGCTTTCAGCTGAAGTTCTTCCGTTGCAAGCCCAAATCCTTTTTCTTTGGATTTGCAAGTGCGAGCTCAATTGATGTTGATGAAGGCCCAAACCAAAAACCGACTTTAACAACCTTACAAATTTTTTATCACCATTACTAAAACTTCTGGCTTTGACAAAAATAAGATAAAGTTAATTGGTTTGAAAATTTTAACATCATTTCTGGGAAATTTTTGCACCCAAAGAGTAAGCTTCTTTTTTCTTTTTAGAGCACAGTCCTCTATTTTCTTGTATGTATAATTTGTCGCCCACGCAAATAAACCCTAACTTCGATTAGTATGGTTAAGAAAAACTCATTACCTCACTTAAAGAAAGAATAATTTATGTAATTTTTATTCAAACGTCTTGTGTTCAAGTTTCACAAAGTAAGTGATCACTTACCATATTTGTGATTTATTTGACTCATTGGATTTGTAGGGTGTTTAATAAAGTTCGAAAACTAATTGAGTTGCGCACAAACTTATCCGAACAGCTCGATCATAAAAAAATAAAAAAAAATTTAGTTAATTTTAATTTTGACTGTATAAAGAGGTTAAATAAGTAATTATATCACTGACAATTCCACACTACATATTTGGATAAAAGAAACTTAGAAATGAGCTTAATTTACTCTAGCAATTCATACATTTGAACTTAATAATTGCATACAATTATAATAATTTTGCAATAACAACTAGTTAAAGAAAAGATTGGAAGACAATCTTATTTGTTAGTCTGAAGCCAATCAAGAATACCCTTCTCTGATTCAGAGAGTTGCTGGTTCTCCTTGGCTTTCAGAGATCCTTCTATAAATTCAAAGTAATCTTTGTAATTCCGCTTGTAATAGCTTTCCAGTCTCTGCCAATAGACATAATTTGATATCAGAATAAATAATAAAATGCTTTATCGGTCTATAAGTTTATATATATATATATAGAGCTTCAATTGACTTCAAGCAAGCTAAAGGTTTTACCTCCTTGTCATTCTTTGCCTTGTTTTCCTCTGATTTCTTTAAATATTCTGATAAGATTAACAAATTTTCAGACACACATGCATATAAACTCTTAAAAAAGAAATTAACATGGACAACAAAGAGATTGAACAAGAAAAGAAAACAAAAAAGTACTTTTAAGAAGCTCAGTGGTGGAGTCGTTAACTTGAGGAGCGGCAGCTACAGTGGATAGAAGTAGCCCTCTTCTTCCTATATCAATATCGGTGACTGCGGCGGCTTTTGCCTTTGGTTTTGTTCTTGAAGGTTTTGATTCTCTTCTACTGGGAACTGCTTGGACATTTAACGAAGCATATTTGTTGACAGTCACAGTTAAAGCCATCAAAATACTTTGGCCTATTGAACTCATCAGTAATCATTACACTTCAAGCTCTCTCTGGAGTTGAAGTTGGGTTGGTTATGGTTGTGGAATTGGAATGGCCAGAGCCACCAGTTTTTAGACCTGTAGATGATGATATATGATATTTTTTTTAGATTTATTTTCTTTTTCTCTCGCTTTATCCTCTGCATGGTAAGTCAGTCGTCGTAAATTACTTAACAGCCCTTCCTACTTTCAGTATTTATAAAATTTAGTTTATAAATTACTTAAATCATTTTAATTTATAAAATAAACTTGAAATCTGAAAATGATAAGAGAGAGGTTGAAAATCCAAATTTAATGCATTTGTTTGTGTGTAACATGTGAACGAACTAGAGAACAATGTAACACCGCATTCTGAAAAGCAGTTAATAATTCTACAAATTGTCAGTGTTATTCTAAGTAGATAGACTAAATTATTTGTCCCAATTTTTTGCATTACTAAATCAAGTACAATGTATTTTAATTCTTTCTTGAGTTATTTTCAACCTGATAAATGTAATGGAAATATGATAAACCCCCAAGTTTCTTCGGATTCTTTCATAAGAAATAATAAATTTTGTTTTCGGTATTTTATTCCATTTTCCCTATATGGATATAGATAAATATGATTCATTGGAATTTCAGTTTTCCTATAATAATAAAGATTAGATGCTCTTATAGGAAATTTCAGATTGGAAACTTTCCATGATCTTTGAGCATATATGTTTAATTTTACAAAATGTATGCACTATTAAAATCTGGAAAAGCAGACATCAAATGTTCCTGCATTCAGAGCATATAATATAGATTTACAATATTCACAAACACAGCATGAAGCTTCAAGTTTTGGAAAGTTGCATTCATGTAAACAATTCCAACCATTGGCTTCTTTAACAATACAGAATCACCCTTCTTTCACTCCAGCAGACGCTTGTGCTTGCACCAGGCAATAGCAACTACATATAGGAATATACTCCCAGTTGCGCCGCCACCAACAGTCCACAGAAACTCTTGCATGCCTGATTTGTTTTCGTCAAACAGCTCGATGGTGATATTCATTCCAAATATACCAGCCACAACAACAAACGCACTCACCACAAGGGTTGCAGTTGTTAGCATGACCCCCATTTGCAAAAGATGATTCTGTTTGTCATCCAGCATTATGTTAATGTAGTCTTCTGTGTCATCTACGTACTCCCTCAGCTTCCAAGAAACAAAAACACAATGATAAGAAAATATGTGAAAAGCATCTGGGGAAAACTAGCGAATGGGTTGATTTCCAAATTGACAGTGAGTTTGTATATATAAGCAAAGAAAAACAACTTTAAATCTTTATTTTTTTTCCATGCATCTCCCAATGAGTATGAACCTTTCCATAACCATCATATCAAAATTCAAACTCAAAAATCATCACCCCCCTTCTTAAAATGGAAAAGCGGAAAACCCTTGTAGAGCTAGTGGAAAGTTTCTACCACCACAATGAGCAAACTACTATACTGTGTTTAAAACAAAATGGGAAAGTTTCTCTAAGCATGACGGAAAAACTATATTGTCTGTAAAAATTAATTTTTAAAGTCTACATTGCATAAAGCACCAGCCCTAATCTTGGCCAACAATCATATAAATAAGAATAATCTCAATGTTTCTAAGAAATCACCGGATTGCTATCATTTAAAACCAGCTACACCATACAAAGTGGAACATGTCATGTCCAAAGGAGTACTTGTCAGCCCTTTTTCAAATAATAAGCATCATCAACATGCTTGCCCTAAAAAGAGTTTCATAATCTTGCCACTGCACTTTGGAACAATGTTAATCTGTGACACATCTGGCTATCCTGATAAACCTACTTATAAGTTTTGTTCCACAACCAAAGTGACTGCTCTCTTACTCAAAACACTCCCCACTGCATGCCTGACCCTGAGCTGTTCCATCTAGTGGAATCCCTCAACACAATATGAGCGTAATCTTCACTCAACCACCCCAAAGTTTATATTCTAAACAAAAGAGTTTCGTCGATGTGTCTCAGCAACCACAACAAGAATTAGGTAATAACTAATAGTAAGCCTCAAAAATAAATGTCCAAAGCCATATTCACTGCCTCACTGGTAAAAACGCTTGGCTATGTCTAGAAGGATTTATGGTAAGAGTAGCAAAAATGTCAGATTTCTAATCTCAATCTACGGATAAAATCTGAACTAATAAATGCAATTAAGACTTCAACAATGATCACCACTCCGTTATACCATCCTATTCTTGTAATATATACTCATAATGCAAAGATACTTAAATGCTAGAGATTTTAAACTCTGATAAATAAGTTTAGGCCATGCGGCTGCCGATTGTGAGCCTCCTACTCATAGAATAGCAGTACCAGAGCAAGGAGCAAGGTGGGCACCCCTTGCACTTACACATTAAAATTCCCATGAAGAGAAGACTAATTAACTCCTCATAGGGTTCATGTATTATACAGTTGGAATGAGTTGCCTTAATCAATATCAACATCAGACCTCTGAAGATTGATGCATGAGGAGTAATCCTTGTCGAGACAGTTTATAAACCACATCCACATAAATGTTTAAAGGAAAAAGACATGCCTTGTAACACTTTAATACCCGTTTACATAAATGTTCAACAGTTCATACTGACATTAATATGTGATTGGCTAATCCTGATTTATTATCGTTCACCACTTCTTTATTTGTGACGCAAATGACTGTTTAGGGGAGGCAAATTAAGGAGAACTGCTGAACTGACTTTTCGAGGAAAAAAGTTTTATATTTTTTAACAGCACAAGGCTTTAATGTGTTTACTTTTGGTGTTGTGGTTGCCTATATATTTCCAAACAAGATATCAAGAGTTTATCACATCTATTTTAGTATTTGAGTCTTTTATTTGTTATTTTGGAGTTGTGTTTCATGAAATAGGATCAAGCAGTGAAATTGAGTTTCATACCGTAGACAGCTTGTTTAGTGTACCATCAATCTGCACAAAGTATGCCTCCAGGAGCATTTCAAGCTCCTCAACATCAAGTTGCTTGCTTATAGCACTGTGAGTGGTACTAGTACGAGTCCCGTGGCTTTCCCTGCCAAGTACGTTATGTGCAGTAAACAACTCATGGGTGTTCTCTGCGTTAAGATCAACTTCATAACTAGTGGATCCCCCAGCAGCATTCACTGATAATTCAGCCGGAGTCCTGGAACAGTAGGAGAAAAGCAAAAATAAAAATAACAAATAGGAAGGCAGATAACAAAGTGATAGAAATTGGTACCTGTCATCCATATTTGATTGAAGAACTTCATCATCCACGTATCTCTCTCATCATAGAAGAAGTGGAGGAGTTTTCAAGTTGTTGAACCAACTTCTCGGTCAGATACATCTCAGCCATGTCTTCATCATCATCTAGCAAGTGTTCAATTCATCCCTCACCTGGAGATGAACACATGTCATCATAGTCAAAAAAATAATAGAAAGAAAAACTATCAATAACTTGAGTGCATGGTTTGATTAGGTGATGAACATGCGCTCTTAAAATGTATCCACAAGGTTACTAAGTGTACCAGCCTAGCAACACAGAGTAACAGAAAACCATTTACAATCCTAATATTGAAATCACTCAACCTTCTGAACACGTCCAGTTATTGCAACCAAGCGGCTCTTAATTGACGGACACGTTCCAAATTGAGAGTACTGATCTTTGAAGTCAGCTTATCTAAAGCCGGGGTGAGCTTCTAGTTCCAATGTTTTGCCTTATTTAGAAACAAGAACAAGTAAAATTACAAGAACAAAGAAAATAAATGGAAGACGCTAGACAGTCAAGAAAAATCTAAGAAAGTAGGAAATAAGGTTAATTACTTCATTTTTAAGCAACTGCAAGCAGCCTCAAGGCAGGCTTCTAGGGCAAACAACTCAATGGAAGAACCTTTGATCCATCCGGTTCTCAAGACCTTGTTTCCCACTGCCTTAACTTCCTCGTGTTGATCCTCATACTGTGGAAAACCTCCAGCAAATTTGGAGGACTGGAATCTCTTGATTGTGGTTCTTCCAATCATACAAATTTATCATTTTGAATCATCTCCAGTGCCCTCCTATACAAAAGACCATAATAACAACACACAAAGTGTATAAATAACAATCAAAAAACTTCACCAAACAACAAATTAATATAAATCAACATAAATGTAAAATTGAAGGTGAAGGCCTTGCAGCCCATGTAATAATGAGCATTCGCATTTGACTCAAACAAATGACAAATGCACTTTATGCCAGTAAAAAAAAAATCACAATTCATTATCAGGAATTTTACTGACCTCCCTTTCAACTTTCAAGAATAGATTTATAACAATTTTCATATTTCAAGAGAGTTCTGATAAAATGAACACATACTCCGTCCAAAGTACCTAAATATGCTGTTTTAACTTCACAAAAAAGTGAAACAATTATAATGTAAAAGGAAAAAAAAAATCAAAAACAAAAATAAAAACCTGAGCTTTAGTGGCTGATAGTGACAAAATCCTCCTCTTAACTCTCAACAAAGGGAACAACAAAAGGGTCTCTTGAATTGAGCAACAGAACTTCCTGGGCAGTAATAATAGCCTTGATGTGCTCCAAATTAATAACAATAGCCCGTCACGGCCCAACACAGTTGAAGGGTAGACAGTTGCGGATCCAGGATCCGAAGGTCTCGTGCCGGCAGCCCCGTGCGCCGCATGATGGCGTGCTTTCCGGCTTCCACTACTGGGCCTGCCCACTCGAATCAGAAGTAGCCAGGGACGGACTCCCGCTGCCTTCTTACGGAGACCAGCGGCGGTGGATAGAAGCCATGTTGGCGGAGACGGTTGGTGGCCGGGCTGATTCCGGGTCATCATCGGGTTGGGTAGGACCCGGTTTTGAGTGTGGAGGATGGTGGTTTCTCATCGTACGGAATCGCGTTGCGTTAGTCGGTTGGCTGATCTCTCAACCATTTATTAAGGAACAAAGATAACTTACAAATCATTTTCACAAGCGTCTTTTACAAACTTGAAATGTTAGCTTACAGTTGGTGAACTCGCGTTTAGGTAATAGGACCTATTTTTGGATAGACAAATAAATTGATCAATTATGAATTAATATATC